TATCTATCTATCTATCTATCTATCTATCTATCTATCTATCTATCTATCTATCTATCTCAAAATAACATCAGAAATAATACAGAGGAAGATTAGAGAGAAAGGAGGAGTGGGGAAAGAGAAAGGAAAAAAAAAAGAAAAAGATGACTTTTGATGGGTTTTTTAACATATTTTCTCTCTCTTTCTTCATTAAAATGACAGCAAAACAACCTTCTGCTCATGTTTAACCAATTTTAATCAGCACATCCATACATAAATCCTTCCTTTCTTTCCTACTTTCTATGTTTTCCTTCCTTCCTTCTCCCTTTTCTTCCTTTTTTCTAATTTACTTTTCCTTCCTTCTATCCTTCCTTCCTTCCCGATCCCTCCCTCCCTTCCTTTCTCCCTTTCCTTCTTTCTTTCCTCCCTCCCTTCTCCCTTTTCTTCCTTTCTATTCTATTCTATTCTATTCTATTCTATTCTATTCTATTCTATTCTATTCTATTCTATTCTATTCTATTCTATTCTTATTCTATTCTATTCTATTCTATTCCATTCCATTCCATTCCATTCCATTCCATTCCATTCTCTATTCTCTATTCTCTATTCTCTATTCTCTATTCTATTTTCTTCTATCCTAAAGGCCCTTTATTTCACACCGCCCCCAAATGAAAAGAAATCTTGATTGATTTATTTTAAATTTCAAAACAAAAGAAAGAACTGCAAGCGGGGGCCTCGTTTTGAGATTTATTTATTCAGGATAAATAAATAAACCTGCCAGAGAGCCAGCCACAGAAAACTTGAAAAAAAAATGTTATCCAACTCAGCCCCCCCACCCCCCAAAAAAACCCACCCTCTGCTTTTACTTACCCCCCCACCCTCAGTACCAAGGACAGCTCCGGGAGTGAGAAGGTGGGTGGGGAATAATTCATCACACAAAACTATCCCCAGCTCCACAACTTCGTAAACCCTGGGCCTGCAGAGAGAAACTTGGTCTGCCTCCTTAGAACTCCCCCTGGGAGACAGAGTGGTAGACTTCTCCTGAATAAGGGGGCTCTACTGCAGACATCTCCACCACCACCACCCCAAAAAAAGGAGCAAAAAAAAACATAGCCCCCTTTTGGCATCAATTTCTCAGAGAAGCCCACCCTCCGATACCCAAATTTCTGCAACACCAACCAACACTGGGATTTATTTTTTGCATGCGTCTCCTTTCGTCTGGATGGCGGCTCCTCCTCCTGGGGTTGTGGGGAGGAAGGGGCTGAAGATCAGAAGGTATGGATGCCCCCTTCCCTAATCCAGCTTTGCCTGCCCCCCTCCTCCTCCCCCCTGTGCAGCCCTGTGGCTCGGCCTGCCCAAGACTAAATCTGGAGATAATCCACCAAATTCCAGATCTCCTGTCGAGCGGGGAGCGAGTGCAGATTTGTAGCCGTGGTTTGTGGGGCATCTGGGTCCAGGAGTGGGGGACACAACAGCCTTCAGGGTTAGGGGCTACAGTGAGGGGGGTAATAACGGAGTAACAGAGCCGAAAGGGGCCTCAGAGGCCTTCTAGTCCAACCCCCTGCTGAAGCAGGAGATCCTATACCGGGTCAGGCCAATGGTGGTCCAATCTCTTTCTGAAAGCCTCCACTGATGGAACATCCACAACTTCTGGAGGCAAGCAGTTCCACTGGCTAATTGTTGTAACTTTCAGGAAGTGGAGGAGGAGGAGGACAGAAAGAAAAGAAGAAGGAGAAGGGAAGGAGGAGAAGGAGAAGACGGGGAGGAGATAGAGATGGAGAAGGAGGAGAAAGAGTTGAAAGAAGAGAAGGAGAAGGGGAGAGGAGGAGAAGAAGGTGGAGAAGGAAGAGGAAGAGACCTAGATACGGCATGAATAAACCAGCATTGTAGAGTTACTAGCCCGCCTTGTGCTCAATTTCATCTGGATTCTTGCTAGCATATTTTCCCATCCTCGAACTCGTCACAAGGCTTGGGCAATTCCCACCCAGCATCCTTTTCCCAGCCCAAAATAAGGGGACAAATAAGAAAAGGTTAGGAAATCTCGTGATGTCTGCAGTGGGAATCTCTGGTTGTGTGTGTTTTTTGCAAGGGGAGCAGAGAAGCCAAGGGAGGGCAGGCCCAGACGGGGGCAATGCACAGTAGAGCTTCCCGCTGCCAAGGCAGTCTACCTGAGAATGTAAGAATTGCAACCTTCCCTCTGAGGCATTTAGGAAGCCGTGGGGTGACTTGGCGCTCCTTTGCAGCCTGGTTGTTACATACATACGTACATACGTGCATATTTTATTATATATATAATAAATTATAATATATATAATATAATATATATAATAAATTATATATACATACATACATACATATATATATATTTGTCCCCTGCAATGAACTTTTGTTTTGTAAAGAATACCATCTATTTTAGTGGATCTCCATGTGTCCGAGCAGTCTACCCTCCAGATGCTGGAGAGAGAAATAAGAGTAGATAGTGGAGTTGTGCAACCCCATTTTTGAGGCCGATTTGAGAAGAACAGCGGCCTGTGCTGGGCCTCGGTGGGGCTGCCTGGGGCTTTGTCTGATTTTTCTAATTTTCCGATTTTGCAGGCAGCCTCTTCCCTGTGCCCCCCCCCACTTCCCCCCACCAGGCAGGCCGTGGGAGGCAAATTTCACTCCCCCCCCCTCCAGCTTTGGCAGGAGGCGGTGCCAGGGGGCAAGGTAAGTGCTTGCAGCTCTGCGACAGCTGGCAAAACACCTGCTCCTTTTCACCTCCCCTCCTTGGACTAATAGCTGGCAGGAAAGCGGAGGGTGCAGAAGGGAGACCTCGCCCAGGAGGGCAGGTGGGCAGTGGGGGTGGGGAGGGAGGGAGGTGCGCCTTCCCGAACACCGGAAAGAAGAGGAAAGAGAAAAGGAAAGGAAAGAAAAAGAAAGGGAACGAAAGGGAAGAGAAAGAAGGAAAGACAGAGAGAAAATGGAAGAGAGAGAAAGGGAAGGCAAGAAGGACGGAAGGAAGGAAGGAAGGAAGGAAGGAAGGAAGGAAGGAAGGGGCGAGGGAGGGAGGGAGGGAGGGAAGGAGGAATGAAGGAAAAGTAGAAAAGGGAAGGAGGGACAGAGGGAGAAAAGAAAGAGAGATGAGACAGGAAGGAAGGAAGGAAGGAAGGTGAACATGGGAGGGAAGGAAGCAAAGAAGGAAGGAGGGATAAATGGAGGGAGGAAGGGAGGAAGGAAAAGAAGGAAAAAAGAAAGAGAGAGGGAGGGAGGGAGGGAGGAAGGAAAAGTAGAAAAGAGAAGGAGGGACAGAGGGAGAAAGGAAAGAGAGATGAGACAGGAAGGAAGGCAAACATGGGAGGGAGGGAAGGAAGGAAGGAAGGAAGGAAGGAAGGAAGGAAGG